TGTTAAATGTGAGCCAAAATCATCACAATTAAAAGAACCAAAGACTTAAACTACTTCAGTCTGTGTGCACTGAATTTATTTAATACACGAGTTTCACAATTTGAGTTGAATTACTGAAATAAATTAACTTTTCCACGACATTCTAATTTATTGAGATGCACCTGTAGATATTGTTTAGCTTACAGTGCAGCATTTTTATTCAGTGCAACAGACAGGCACATTTACCTATCTGTCATCTAAATAGGAAGAACTGAAGGGTGTGGCCCAGAGACATCCATGCAAAACTGGGAACTGCTTCTCAGTGACAGAACCATTATCATTTCACACATTTTCCTACAACAGAATACAACTAAATGGAAGGGCTCCTGGATTCAGAAGAGTTTTGCTGTTCTATTTGCCTGGATTTGCTGAAAGATCCAGTGGCCATTCCATGTGGGCACAGCTACTGCTTGGAATGCATTAATGATTATTGGAAGAAAAATGATCATTTGGGGGTCTTCAGCTGTCCTCAGTGCGGACAGACGTTTAGCCCTAGGCCTGTTTTGAACAGAAATACCATACTGGCAGATATGGTGGACAAGCTGAAGAAACTGGAACTTCTGGGCAACTCTCACATTTACAACAACTGCATGCCAGGTGATATGACCTGTGATTTCTGTACAAGTATCAAGCAAAAAGCTGTGAAGAGTTGTTTGGTTTGTTTGGCATCTTACTGTCAAAACCACCTTCAAGCACACTACAAGTCTCCTGCCTTGAAGAAACACAAGCTGATCGAAGCCTCCGTGAACCTGCAGGAGAAGATCTGTCCTCATCATGACAAATATTTGGAGATGTATTGTCGAACTGATCAACAATGCATATGTCTTTTGTGTGTGATGGACGACCATAAAGGTCACAATACAGTACCTGCAGCTGTGGAAAGCACAAAGAAACAGGTAGAAAAAAAATCATCTTTCCTTGTTTTGCTTTGTATCGTTTAAGTGGTTTTATTCAATAAGAACTTTTTCATGGTTCTTAACTTCTATGGAAGATGCAGTAAATTACAGTATTCTCAGAATCCTTCAGTAGCCAAAGTCATTTTCCACTGAGGCAAAACACATTTTCCAAAGTGCACTCCACCTCAATATGAACAGCTTTCATTGTACAGAAAAGTTCATGCAACAGAGTAATTGGGAAAAGAAATGTGAGAGAAAGGAGGCATTGAATTGATGTGATGAGCAATACGCTTGTGTTTCCAACCAAAAACGATAAAGTACCTGTAAATAAGTGTAACATTATAACATTAGAATAATATTACAAAAACAGTTTCCTGCTTCACATACAAATTTC